CATCCTGTCCAAGGCGCCAAACACCACCGTCGAGACTATCGTTGCCGATGTGACGACGCCACCACCCAAAGAGCTCAAGAACTCCGCGTTCGACTCAATTTCGATGTTCAATCTCTTCCACTGCATCCCCGGGAATATGAAACTCAGAGCGTTCAGTCTGTATGGGGACATTCTAGCTGATGGAGGAGTTCTGACGGGCTGCACCGTCCTTGGGGGGAGTCATGCAACTAATTGGATCAACTACCAATATGTAAAACTGTATAACTACCTTGGAATCTTCCACAATTGGGACGACAAGAAGGAAGACTTTGAGCGAGCCTTGAAGGAGAACTTTGAAGAGGTTGAGACGACGTTAGTCGGCATGGTTCTATTGTTTCGAGCTACGAAGCCCCGTGGGTATTGACTCTACCAGAATAGAAGACACAATCAAGCATGGTACTCATTTGATTACTCGTTGCGTTTCATGCCTGACCCAAAAATAATATGCAATGTATGTCTCACCAGATTTCCACGGCTCCTATGTGTAAGGAGCCACTCAGCAATATCACGAATGATGTATTAATGAGAGGGCACCATGTGGTTTTCGATGAGTGGCTTTCTTTAGAGAATTAGGTCATGCCACAAAGCACTATTGAATGGCAGCCTATCAACCACTTAATTATTTCCTTGTTTCTATCTTCTAATGCCCTTTTAGTCGTATGCGTTATATACGAGTCTTGACTCAGACAGGGGAAATTGTCTAAGTGTAGGGTCTTGGTTATGAGCTCATGGCGGAGGAAATTGATGTTGGGCACTTGAGGGCTCACTTGTGCTTGTAAAGAAATAACATCCGTGAGCAAACACGTCTCAGCCCTCAGTTTTATCAGCATACTCTGATAGTTCTAACGGGCGAAAAGCCTGAAATATCACACACAAGGCATGAAATAAGTACCAGACAACAATATACTATGCTCAAAAGTTACGAGAAGACGTACCACAACGGGACATAAGTTTATGAAGCAAAGGCGATGTGATACGGGAAGTGACTACAACACTTTGCTGAACCCTATCCTATCTCTGCGGGGCGGTTTGATAGATGTGATGGCGCAGTCTTACCATATCCCGTAAATATGCGTGTCTACATATCCAAAAGCTCTATAGAAGTCCTTTCCAAGGATTGCCATCTGCCTAGGATGCTAGCTATATCGCAGAACTTGGAGACGCTGTGAGGGAGATCTTTTATTCTACCCTACCCATAACGTTAGCTAGTGATAACTTCACACCTCACTTTGTGGCTCGAGATCACGCCATCAACCGGTCAACGACACGTATCCACGTTGGTATGAGGTAATAAGAAGCTCATGACGGAACCTCGATCTGGGTAGGCCTCCTACCATGTGACTTAGTATTTAATTATGAGTAAAAAAGTCGCGCATTAATATCTGGAGGATGGTACCTAATTCCATATCAGCCGAGGAACGCGAAGAGCTCGAAATGGGGTTGTGGATAGCAGTTTGAACCCTTGCGACAGAGTACAGGCTTATCTGAGGGACCTTGCAGCTGAAGTCATGAAGTACCCAGCTTGTCTAGAACCCTGATGAGTGATCAGTCACTTCATTTGGATATCACATAATCCGTTTGTGTACATGCTGATGTAACTGAAGTCCGAAAACGATGAAGTGCAGATATTTGTGGAGGACTCCTCCACATGAGGGGTTTGAAAGAGGATCTCTAAAGGATGGGTGGGCCTGCTAGACTAGACATGTGATACCTCCCGCCAAGTTACGCTTCATGGGTCTGCGCGTCGGAGCTTTTCTCACCTAGGTGAACGATACTGCATAAGGCTGCTGATATCTGCAACAGTAAGAACGGCACATGGGACATGTGCCAAATGACGCATATCGAGTGGATAGCCATGATATTCTCCTCAGCCTCAGCTAACGACCTAGGTCTTGTATTCGTCTCCGGGCGTTGCTTGTGATAATATTACGCTCGCTTCCCGCCGGTCCGCGGAGAAATACGAGCAGACTAAATCTTGCTTGGCTGCGGATGACTGTTATTTCCTAAAACTGGTATGTGTACATCGATCGTGTAGACGTTGTAGGTGGGAGCTGGACTGGATTCTTGGTTCCGCGGATGCCGCCCATCTGTTTTTGGAACTCATCACCCTGCATATAGTCCCTGAATGAAACGTAGAAAGGATAAAAAGTGGCTTTTGCACATCCTATCGCTGTAGCGGAAGAATCGGGAATGATACTTCGGACAAGAGACATCAGCAGAGCTCATTGCTTGATGCTAGACTTCCTCACATAGGGGAACTTCTAAGTAAATAGTAGTATCAAAGATTGTAGTTTCTGACAGCTACAATATATCGCCTTTGAAATCAACCGCATATGACTTAACTTTTACGCTTTTGTCCTTGAGTAGAGCTCATTGATTAAACCGTCTTGCTGCTTTAGTACCGCCTTAGCCTGTTTCGCTATTGTTGAGTTCATGCTGTAGCATGAGTACCAATACGAAACCCTCTCAATACCCTTATCAGGTTCATGTATGAGTTTACACACTACGGATTGGCTGCTCACTTACTACTTACCCGTCTCGCTTTGATATCGGCTATGCTGCAAAAAGAATTCACTGATGAGTGCCCGCCGTGAAGGAAGTTATGAGGACTGACTGTGGCATCTGCGGGTCTCTAAAGTCTTGTAGTTCTAGACTGAAGATATCAATTGTTTTTCTTGTAGAGGGATCAGATATACTATCTAAGAATGCTAAACTTATCGGTGCTGCCTTGATGTTTCCATTTCCCCAAGAGTGTGAGGCCCTGAATTGGTGACCTTACAGTGATCTTGTGGGTATGTGCGATAGATATAGACACTCTACGCACATAGCTATAGGAACTAACTGTATTTCACTGCAACTGCGAATATCTGAGCCAATATTTCAACAAGTGGTACTATTCCTCAGTACAAGCGTCGACTCGGGGCTCGACATACCATCAATCTGTCAAGACAATGATCAAAAGCTTTTAACGGTGATTGCCTAAATTATCAGTCCGTTGAATCCCGAAAGAAGTCGACCGCATGATCCCATTATCTGGAGCAATGATAGTACGACTTCACAAGATTCAACACTCATAAAACTTACCGGTGCATGAAGCCCCTGACGTGTTGAGTTCGCTACAGTATGAGTATTTGTTATTCCGGCTTTCAATTCTGTGTTTGTTGCTACTGTAACATAGCATATTTTAGTAAAGATGTTCATAGTGGCTACAGTTGTATCAGCTAAGATATTATTGATGTACATTACGGCTGCCAACTTACATATCGAGGAGTCTTCTTCCACGCTTGACTACTGGATCAAGTTCACATAACGAGAATAGATTTTTCAGGGCGAGTTACGTTTCCATCTCCATTCAGTATACGGCCGAGTCATCGGTTCAAAGGCCAGAGTGAGGGTAAATGAAAATTGCACACCCCCAAATTAGCACCTAAGGTTTCTTATTTTTGATAGTCAATTGCACAGCTAAAATAACGGTTTAAAAAAAGAAAGAAAAAAACTTAAGAGGCTATTATAATTTTCGGCTCTCGCTCTATTTCCCCGTGGAATTTTCAAGGTAATAGTACCCATTTAGCTTTGTTGTTGTAATAGCGAAGTAGTAGGGTTGTTCACTCACTTTGGTGGGGTGTGCAATTTTCATTGACCCTGACTCTGCAAAAGCCAAGGGCGGAAAACTTAGAAAAGGGGTCGATTTTGCCACTTCAGCATTGTAACCACTCGGAAAATGGAATGTGGCGACATCTCTCAAAAGAAAACATCGTGTCTCCGATTCCTTAGAGTAGGGAGTCATTACTAATGGCTATAGTAGATAGTGATTCACAACTACTGGTAACACAGGCAATCTTTCCCCTAAGCGGTTTTCACCAATCGGAGCTACGGATATTCAATATCGATCCTATCCTCCGGAACTTGGCATTTATTGGCACACAGCATGGGAGAACGCAATGTTGGCTGATCAATTGTGCTCTGCACATGTCTGGAGATGGTAACAGCGATCATTATTTCCCATACCCTCACTCCACCGAGATTGGTGTAATGGCTTGCATGGTTTTTTCGCCATCGGGTAAGCACCGGGCTGAGCTGACCCGCTCCAATATTAAAAAGGCTGATATTTATTTCGGCGTACAATATTGGCACGAGTACCCAGTCATTGGCTGTTACATTCGAGCTGACAAGGCTGTTGGTTACCAGCTATTCAATATTCATGTGCCCCGGCGATCTGCCTTGCACCGCATAAGATTTCAAAGGCCGGGATTAATACGGGTGATGGCATGCCGTCAAAAAGCCCCTGAAAGCCCTACAGTCGGTGATATGACGGGCGGGGAGGAGCTTGACACAGATAATCTGTAAGTAGCAAGCCGATAATGTAATTTGTATGCCCTGGAGGCCGTATATTGTATAATGAATGAATTATACGGCACAGCTAAAATAACGGCATGGCTATCACGGCATGGCTATCACGGCTTAAAGCATACCACCTCTCAGAGATATAGTTCTACACGGACAATAGTTCCTGTTGGGAGATTTCCGGTATGCAGTGCAACACAAATTATGGGAGATTTCTCTTATTTTACTTCTCCAAAAGTTTACTGTCCACGTAATTGGCAGCCCTATCGAACTTGGAGTATGCACGTATTGCCAGGGAGTAGAAAAAACCGCAGAGTTACCCCGAAATCACTCGTGTGTCTTAAGGCGCTAGCGACAACCAAAAAGCCCTGTTGAAATAAAATAACGTCTTGTCAAGGATACAGACAAAAAAGTAAGCTCACTCCCCCGGACAGTCTTTGAACTATCAGCCGCTCGATGACCTGCTCCTTATAACAGTCGCACGCGCTAGTCAATTGCGCCACGAAGGAATCGTCGGAACCCGATCTTCTTCACAGTTCTTGAACAATTAAATTCAGAATGGAAAAAGCTGGTGGAAAAAAGGTGACTCAGAAAAATAGGAAAAAAATATAATTAAACTCCCCCGGACAGGCTTGAACTGTCAACCTCTCGATTAACTGTTGTAATAACAGTCGAACGCGCTAGCCAATTGCGCCACGGAGGAATTGTTGAAAAGCAGTCGCTTAGGAAGTCTTAAGCCGTAAACCAAACGCGGCAAATCTCCCATGCGACACTCCACTAATAAGCCTCAGCCATGTTACTATGACGAGGCCTCCGTTTGTTAGGCAGCAACTACATACAATTGCCAGTGACAACTCACGAAGGAGAAAACATGGTTAGCCGATAATGTAAGGAGTGGAATCAGAGTCTCTTTCGAATGATGAAAAGTTTACGGGAATAGTAGATACTTGTTGGTCCACAACAGATTAGTGAAACGGGGCACTAACAGACCTGTGGTGATTCACGGATTCAACAACGTAGAACCTACAGGTAATGTATTGTTCGTAAGCTTTTAGCCTTGCTTACGGTGGCTGTTCTCTGTGAGCCACGGACAGTCACAGTCTGCCTACAGAGGCCCCATACTGCGTAACCTAAATGATTTATATAAACTTGTATTGAGAAGCCTGCTGAGAAAGACACCTCCAAGCCTCTTAACTTATACTCACTCCAAAACGTGGAATCTAACAGGCACGCAGACAACGTTTAGAAATGGATAGACGAAATAACGACGAGGTATTCTCGGAACGACAAGCGGTACGGCCGCTGACGGTTATTGTAGTTGGCGCGGGTATCGGTGGACTTGCTGTCGGCCTATGTATGCGAAAGACAGGGCACAATGTTCGTGAGTAATTTCAAGAGTCATTTTCTGCCTATTCTGGCCATTTTCGGCAGCAAACTACTGGATCGGGCTCTACATATTTCCCTAAACCCTTACAGAGTTCGTCTGGTACGGACATTACTGACATGTAATGTTGGAGTTATTTTGGAAAGGAGACGAGTCTCGATTACTGAGGTTGGAGCGGGTATACAACTTGCCCCGAACGCTGCTCGCATCTTACGAAGGTTCGGAGTGCTTGAAGAAGCCATGAAATATGCCACGGTGCTAGAGGGAATAAGCTCAAGGTAAGCACGCCGTAGTCATCTTAATCCCAGTCTTCGATGCGCTTGTTCAAGTTGAAGGTCTATTGACATGACTTAGACGGTGGGAGAATGACGAAGAGTTGGGCTCAGTACCCTTAATACCACATGTCGAGGAGCAGTTCGGCGCACCACTTGCAGTCATCCATCGGACTGATTTACAGCGTGTCCTCTTAGATGCCGCGATAGGATGTGGATGCAAGATCTTGATAGATCATGAGGTCGTTGATACTGATCCGCAATTCTTGCCGGTAAGCACCGATATGCTAGATCTCGCACCGATTTCTGGGTTCTTCCGTGCATGGAAGAAATACTGATTGGAATCTAGTATGTGAGACTGCTCCCTAACGCTTCCCCTACTTGGATGTCTTGCCGCTTCTTAGTTCACTTCTTAACTCAACACGAACCCTTTCTCGAGGAAAGAAGACTAATAAAACATTATAGTCGGATTCTCGTGCGCCGTAATGGGATAGATACTTGGATGTCGGGAGACCTGATTGTTGCAGCTGACGGAATGAACTCGCCCATAAGGAAACGAATGGCTTCCGCAAGCGGCCACGTTGACCGGCTCGCTCCGGCTGGGCAGTCAGCATACAGGTTCCTGTTGCCCAGAGAACTGGTGGAACACGACGAAACAGTAATGGATCTTCTCCGTAAGAATCAAGGCATACGTTATATGGGGCCTGGTGGGCATGTCATGGCGTATCCTCTGAGAAATAACACGCTATACAATGTGGTCCTTGTGCGCGCAGTCGCCGGCGAGAAATCGCGGGCAACATCTTGGATGACACACGGAAGGAAGGAGGAGATCATTGAACATCATCGTGGATGGTGTCCTCTGGTTCACGCCTTGATTAGACATGTACCTGGTTCCGAGATACTGGAAACCCCAATGAACAATATGCCTCCTTTGCCGACATGGGTGAAGGGGCAGGTGGCTCTTGCTGGTGATTCGTGCCGTAAGTAACTCCTGAAATCATTCGCTTACCCTTTTGGTGTGGTTCGAGAGTAAGTCCAATTGGGGCGAATTCTGCTCTTATCTGCAACTGGATACTCCCGAGAAATCTCATTCTTCAGACTTTAACTTCATGGGGAAGCTCTAACTCATGATGCCTTTAGATTATATGCTTCCTTACGTTGCACAAGGAGCGGCCAATGCTATAGAAGATGCCGGGACACTAGCCATGGCTTTCACCTGCACAGATAACATTGAACTGGCACTCAAGGTGTACGAGCTCGTCAGGAAATGCCGTAGCGAGCGGATACAAGCTAGTGCAACAAACACAGGTAATACCTTACACCTGCCAGACGGCGAAGAGCAGAGAAGACGAGACGAGTCTATTCGAGCTGCGAGTCGAGGGGCGGGTGCAAATCCAGATCAGTGGAATGACCGAGAATGTCGTGAGTTCATGTGGGGAGTCGATGTAATGGCGGAGACGATAAACAAATTTGATGTCCTTGGCGGACGAAGCAGGCTTTGATTGGGATAAACAACATAGAGAAGGGTGTAATTGTGCAACATAAAGAAAAGGCACTAATTATGGTAGATGAGTGTTATATCCTTTCTGAATCAGTCGCTGTGCTGCCGCCCAGACTTCCTCCGGGATATCTTGCTGAATCTGGAAGCCCTCTATAAGAAATCAGGAGTTAGAAATCACCGCTTGTAGTATAAAATCGGCTCATTTTTGGAGTGTTTCGGGAGTGTGCAGGAGCATATTGCATATGGGAGTTAAATCTTTGTCATAACGGGAAATAAAAGACTTAAGATGTCGTACTGGCTGGGTATTCTCGAATTCGCACCAGGTCGCCGACGGCAATATTGATGACAAGATCCACCGGATTGTCCTTGTTTGGATAGTCTTTCCAAGCCAGCCGGGGTGACGTTACAAGGATCTCGGTGCTGGGATCAGGCCACTGCTTTTTGAACGTCGCGTATGTTCGGCGCTCCATATAGGGCTTTTGAACAAGAATAAACGAGCGGATGGACAAGTGTTTTTCTTGAAGCAGAGCGTGCGTAAAACGGACGTTCTCGCCAGTGTTGGTCGAGTGAGGCTCAACTATAAGCTTCGTTTCTGGTACACCCAATTTGCGAGCAATCTCCGCAAAGACTTCGGCCTCTGGCTTGTCGAATCGGTCTTCGGTGAGCTTACCCGAGCCCCCAGAGAAGATGAGATAGTCACCGTAGCCGTCCAGAAATAGCCCAGCGGCTCGCTCTGCGACACGCGTGTCGAGACTGCAAAGGCAGAAAATGGCATCAGCCTTCTGTTCAATTTTCATATGTAGCTGGTGATATACGTATAACGTCTCAGCATCTTGCTGCACGTCTGAGAAAGCTGTTGACATGTTGCCTGACCCTAGTGGGTATGGCTTCGTTTTAGAACGTAAGGAGGAACGATTAGAGTGAAATGGAGGGTCCCCTGAGAAATGGGTTCGACACCTCGAATGTTGTACTCAACTTTTCTTGGCTGGAGTTCTCCATGGCCCAATGAGGGGGTGGCTGGCTACGTGTTGCCAACCCAGTTCCAAGACAGTAAGAGCCAACCAAACCAGCCATAACTAAATCAGCCACCTAGCCAAGCAGCCACAGCCACAGTCACAGCTGTATAGACAGTAAAGCACCTCTCCTTACCTGAGCTACCGTTTCGTTTCCTGTTCAACACCCTATATATCCAACGAGTTAGCGCAAGAACTCTCGAATCGCTTGCAATTCGAACTGGGGACCGCGATAGTAACTTGTTGCCATCTGACCGACATAAGCAACCTCTGTCGCTGCTTGAAAGGATTTGATGCGGCTTTAACCTTGTCACGATGGTACGGGGTTGGTTAGGCGAATCGTGAAAACAGCCGGTATTGTCTCCAAATTAAGCTCCCCAATGGTACTATTGTCTTCTATTCGCAAGTTATATGATTCACGTATAAGGCGCCAGTCAGTGGCGGTACAAACAAGTCTGAGTATAGTTACTCTAACTATGGTATCAGCGGAGCTCAGGCATCGTGGGTCTCCTGGAGGACAGGACATTTGATTTTGACCGGCATTATTTCACCATTCTTGAACAGAGGATGGGAGAAGTCAATGGGGAAGCGGGTAGCGGCCAAGGAATGGAGGCCTGGCCGATAATAAAGGGATAGATCGTTGATATATATTCTACTCAATCAAAGACGAGGACGCCCTAGAACCCGCCACCATAGTCAGGGTGACGAGAGATGGCTATCTGAGGTCGACTCAGCTTTTCTCGAGCAGGAGGAAAACGATGAGGAGGCCACAAAGCTAAATCTGCTAGCAGAGCCCTCCCACTTGGGAAAACCTTACGTCATCCGCACTCACGTACTCACGACAGAGGAAAGGATTCCGAAACCAAAGTAGATAGATAGCTCAGCTGAACGGGAAACTGACCAAGCAGCTACCGGGCTGCTTCATAGTTGCTAGAAATAAAATAAAATAAAACAGCTGTCAAGGAGCTGAGATGGTTCCGCGGGGCAATTCTGGAAGCGTACATGACAACGTCTTTGATAAATTAAGGAAAGACCACCGACAGCCATTTCTTTCGATGTCTTCTCTTTTTGGGGGAAACATGTATGATTTTAGCAATGGAATATTGCCTCGGACCAGAGCAACCTCGCTACAAGAGGGCTTAATGGGCCACTTAACGTCGATAGGTACTTCGAGCACTAGTGCAGAGCAAGGTAGGTGTTTGTAACCCCCCACGGAGAGATAAGATCCACCATCCAGGTTATCAATCTGATAAGATCTCCCAGTGCCGAAGTATCCGGACGATAACTTCCTCCCTCAACGTCTTGAATGAAGACCGACGAGGCAAGTTCGTTTACTTCGTCGCAATGTTACTAGATACTAGCACCAACGACAGGGAATGGGCACTCGATATCTTTCGCCAAGGCCTCCAGACATCACGTCTCCCATCAGCTATTTACGAGTCCACAATATCTCCCGACTTGCCTTTGGATGACCCGGAGAAACTAGAGTACTTACAAAACTTAATCCAATACATCCTCGATGGCCGCACCGTC